CATGAGCTCAGATCTGCTCAAACATGACTTTTCTGACCACGGTCATAACAGACGGCCGTTTGTTTAGCAGCGTTATGCTGGTTTTTGTTTCATGCGCAAAGACACCAGCCACACAGCCTGCAGGTCTAGTCAGGGAGGGTTCGGTAGACAGAGACCATGGCATGACACAGTATTTGAAACATGAAGTAAAAAAAAAAAAAAAAGCGTGTTTGCAACATTGATCTATTCTTTCTTCTTTTTTTAACCCATGGTGCCTGTTTCAAGTAGTGGGGGAAGCCGGAGCGCCCCCAGAAGAAAACCATCCAGATATGGAGCGAAACAGGCAAACCACACAGACCTGGGTCGGCGTGGGAATCTGCGTGCAGCACTTAGAAAATGTATTTTAACAAAATCTAAAACACGGAATAACTACTTAGTAGCACTTTTACTTTGTAGATTCTGCAAAAAAGATGAACAAATAATTCTCTTCTAGACGTCTTTCAAGTGGCTGGTCACAAATATATAGATAAAGATGATTTAATATTGGGAGCTACTGACACAAACATCTCCCCCAGACCCTTTGTCCAAATGCTCCTAATTTGAAATATGAAAAAATATGACAATTTCTTAGCTGTTTTCTGCCTTTTAAAACAGACTTTTTGAGAATTTCTTCAGTATCTTCAATAATTGACATACATGTAATGCCAGAGTGTTATTTCCCATCTTTATCTTATAGTCTAGCTTTATTTCATATATTACTACTGTATCGCACATTTGCAAACATAAAATGTCAAAGTAGTAAATCTCAAGAGCATATTTAAGAGCCAAAATAAAGACAGATATTATTTAAAGCTGGAGTTACTAACTTTAAAACCACAGTAGAAACCATATGTAATCAGTTCCTATCTAAAGAGTACTCCTTTGACTTTGTTTTGTGTATGTGTATTTTTTTATCTAAAAGAGAAGACCTTCCTCACTCAGCTAGGCCTAAACGGTCAAATAGTGACTCACATTATCACTTCAACAAGATTTTGATTTGTCCACAACATGATACTTCCACAACACTCTTTATAACATGTAATATTCATGACAAGAAAAGATAGGTACCCCAGCTTTAAAAACTGATAATGTCTCAATGTTGCACAGATTGAAACAGACGAAACAATGGGATGAATCAGTGGCATTTGGAGCATTTGACAAAACAATGTGTGCATGCATCTGTTATGTAACGTTATGAAAGCGGCCGCTGGGACAGGGACAGTGGAGCTCAATGATCAGATTGTCTTCTCGTACACTGCAGCTCTGTTTCATGGCGCGGATTTGCATTTGGGAACATTGTGAGAAAGAACGGCTTGGTCATTGTGCAGTACTAAAACTTGACTCAAACATGTCATTGCTGCAAGTTCTGGAATCAAGTGTATAATGTCAAAAACTTTCCTCTTTGTGCTACAGATAGAGATTTTATGCAAGTGTTAGAGATTTTTTTTTAAATTTATCTCATGCTGTGTGCTCCTCGTTCCTACTGTTCTGTAACTTGTAATGCAACACTGAAATTTCCCCACTGTGGGATGAATAAAGGATCTCTTAAAATGTTCTATTGTCATTGTGAGTAACAGGAAATCACAAAATTGGAAATTGCTTTGGCTCTCGATGCAATTAAGTTTTGAAAGTAAAAATAGACTAAGGCAGGCATAATAAGAAATACTAAATCTAAATAAAATGTCTTAAAATTACTATCTACTAACTATATACTGAGTATACACTGAGTACACACAGTAGACGTTTAGCAATGGAGTAAAGTGACAGTAGCAGTTAAGTCAGAGCGCCCCGGGCCTTTTCCACCTGTTATGACCAGTTAAAGCAGCTAACTATTGTCCAATCATTTTGCACCATTGGCTGTTACATTACAACGTGAACATGCAGCTTATATTCAAGTGCGGCCAATGTGTGGACAAAATGTACTTTATTTTTAAATTTAGCTTACCCAGGTGCTGTTCACAGTCAAATACTGCTTATAAAACCTCAGTAAATTATCAGAGCATATGGTCCATAAGGGGCAGATGACCAATGTCCATAAATGTTGATAAATGTTGTTGAAACCTTTATGGACATTGAGAATGACAAAATGTTTTCAGTGACACCGCCATTGAGGAAAAACTTGCCGAGCGAGAAATGCTTTCTTTTCCGTGTACTACTATTCCGAGAATGTCCGAGTCTAAATTGGAGTCAGCGTTGGCCTGAGCTGGTTGTGGATGTATGAATGTTATTGTGGTGGAGAAGGAGGAAGTTTTGACAATGCTCTCTGAAGGAATGTTCTACTGAGCGCTCCAAAGGGGAGTGTCCACAGCTGAGGCCCCGCTGTCCGGCTGCTCACAGGACTCTCCAAAAACACTGAAATTGATTGTGCCAGATTTTTCAGATTTTTGTTGCTCAATGTTTTGTTCTCGTGCTAAAAAATGCTTAAAACCTGACATACAAAATATAGGTGTTCTTTTGAGTATAGTTGATCAGAACAGATAAACTGTTAAAGAACGACCACTTTAAATACTGAAGATACTTTTTATTTCTGTGCAGAAACTAAAATGTGCTATAAAAAAAATTAAATTGGATTGGATACTGCCATGTTTACATAAAAGGGCACTGTGTAACTTTTTCATCGTTTGATTTAGGTTGTACTTTAGGTGATTCAGGTATTATCATTCACACCTGAAAAAATATTACGCTTGTAGTGGTGAAATATGTGCTTCCGTTTCCTTTGTGAGCGCTAAAAACAAGCAAAAGGAAAAATGTGTTAATTCATGTTGAGCTGGCATCAATAAAAAAGACAAAATTAAAAAAGATGGGATATTTTAATATTCAATTTAAATAAACAAATTCACAAATTGTACAAATTGTTCATATCTTTGACAATATACTTTTATATTCTATCAATCTCTCAATCTCTGTTGATTTTAGTTGATCACAGCTGTGTTTTCCAGCCTCTATATCTCACTACAACAAAATTCCCACAAAGCAACAGATCATGGATGGATTTCAAAATGTCTACACAACGTTGCCAGATATGTATCATAGATTTCTTGCTGATGGAGTAAGTTCTAAGGACAGTGTCGGTCTGAGACATTTATGAACATCATTAAGATTCATGGACATTGGTCAACCCGCTCCATGTAGACCAATGCCACCTAGGTAGACCTAGGTAGACCAATGGCACCTATTTGTATTTTATTATTGCATTTTCTGTGTTCCAACGGCTTGTTTCTCTGATCTATTGTTGGCAAATCGACATCGACGACTGACAGTTGTGATTTAGGGCTATACAAAAATGAATGTGACTGAATTGACTTAATAAAAACTAATGGTGGCAGTGAAAATTAGTTTCCAAATATGCTTTTTTCCAGGATACATTAAGAAGTTGCACATTTGCCCGCATACCTTGCATTTGTGTGTTTATCTTCGCACTTGATTCTTACCATGCAATGAATTCTGTGTTTTCAATGGTGAGGATGATCAGAAAGGAATGCACCTATATATATATATTTTTTTTTTTACACACGTCCAGCCCCTGTAGAGGCCACAAACTGCAAATGCCCAAAGAGAGAGAGAGAGAGAGAGAGAGAGAGAGAGAGAGAGAGAGAGAGAGAGAGAGAGAGAGAGAGAGAGAGAGAGAGAGAGAGAGAGAGAGAGAGAGAGAGAGAGAGAGAGAGAGAGAGAGAGAGAGAGAGAGAGAGAGAGAGAGAGAGAGAGAGAGAGAAAGAGAAAGAGAGGCTAGCGAAGGGAGGAAGTATCAAACTACACCGGCAGAATACTTATCGCGAAGCAGGAGCAAAGAGCTGCCCATTAAGATTCCAGACTTTCACTGCTCGCCTTCTCCAATAGGAAAATAATGGAGGAGCACTGAGCAGAACTGAACCGGACCCAGGGAGAGGTCAGACAGGGCAGCTATTCACACACTTGCCTTTGAGCATTTGACATATTCCAAATCAAAACTGTGATTTGGATGAGCACAATCCAGTTCCATGTCTTTGAACAAGTCAACATTTATATCAAAGAGAAGTTCTCAAAATTTAACACCAATAACAAATTCGAAAACTATTTATCGTTGTAGACAGACAGACTTCTTGAAGATCCAATGTGCCGAGCCTGGATTGTGTAACTTTTACTCATTACCGTATAGGTTTATTTTATTGTTTTTGTCAGTCATTTGATAAAAGGCCACAACTATAGACCCCAGCTTTCATGAGAGTTGAGCCTTTTGTTTGTACTCCAAAGGGTTCTCTCTTTACATTTGAATGTTTACATACAGTATTTATATAGAGAAAATAGACTGGAGTCATATAAGGGTTAAAAGAGTTTCTATTTAGAATCAAGAAGTATTGTCACATTTTGGTATTGAGTGGTTTGCATATTCTTACTCCTGGATACATTCTGTAGAGTTTATAAAATATGTTGAAGGGTTTGGTGCATGGTTAGGTCGTCATGAAACTGGGGTAACTAGCTTTAAAAACACATCGAAGTTCAAGGTTCATTTTTGCAGTTTAAAAGAGAGACTTGGTATCTACCCAAAAATAAAATATAATCAAATTCAAATGTACACAAATGATAATAAAAAAACAACAGATAAGTAAAGGAAAACAGATAAAAAGAAGGTAAATGTGGTTAAAAGGTGCTTAGTCAAGACACATGTTATAGTTTGTACATGCATGTACTTTAGATCAGCTTTTTAGACAGAAAAGTAACAACCATCACTCAGATTTTAGCCCAAAGCATCAAATAGAGACCCCAGGGCAGTGTGTCCCGTAAGTAAGTGCATGCAAGAATACAAAAGTTGAAATATTCTATAATTAGATGAAAACAACAGTGTATTATTCATGGGAAACTGTAGGTGGACCCCAGCTTTAACACAAGTCCCCATTCCATGAAGCTTTCCACATAGCCCAAACTTTTAACCTCAATATCTCAGAACCATTTTGAAGGCCTCAAAATGAATGATTCTAACTGACTAAACCACTGGGTGAACAGCATCAAGAAATGAAATAAATACAACCATAAATAAAGCCCAGCAGAGGAGAGCCCCATCTTTTACAGCTCTTTTCATGTCTCCTGATCTTCCTCTGGGCCCCTGCTGAGCACATCCGCCCTCGCCGCCCCGCGCTGCCATGCGTGCGTGCGGCTTCATTGTGGGGCTTTGGTGCTGCGTGGAGGGAGGGGCCGTCCTGGATGGCAGTGCCTGGTGATAAGGCTCTCTCTCGGGGGAAGTGGTGCAGGACAGTGGGCTTTTGTCCCGGGGCATTACTTGGTGCCGTGCCAGTGGTCCCAGTCAAAGCCCTGCGATGCTTGGCTTGTTTCTGCCGCTCCGGTGTGGGGCTTGGAGGGACGCTGGTGGACAGGCCTCGGCTCTGGTTCACTGGAACTCGGGAAGCAAAAATCACACAAAAATAATCTCTTTTTTCTCCTCCACCTGTGGTTATTGTTCATCTGCCACGCACTGAGGGAAACCGCGTCAAGTGTGTAATGACATTCAGAAACTACCTTCCGTTGCTTTCCTAAATTTACATTCAAGTATTTTTTGTGCATGGTGAGTGGAATCATTAACATTTCAGGCCGTGCAAAGCCAAGGTCTTTTCCGAAAGTAATTAATTGTTTATAAAAATCAAGTCAGTATTTTAAATAAAGTAAATATATACTTTTTTTTACTATTCTAACTTTACTAGTCAACTACTGCAACAAAAACGTATAGTTCATCTATCTATAAAGAAAGAAATCTCTGTCTGACAGTGAAGTGACCACTTACAAACATTTGGACATGTTCTCCGGAACATCCACCGAACTCTGAAATTGAATATTCAAATGCTCCGCTTCCCCATCGCTTTTACTCGCACAACTACTTTGTATTTTTTTGTATAAATATAAAACAAACATATTCTTAATAGATCTACTTTAAAATATACACTACAGTATGTGCACAGAGTCTATATATAATTCCCATCTAAAGTATCTTAGAGAGTGTGATAAAATCCTATTCAAATTAACCTTTGGAATTAACCTTCATGTCAATTGTGAGCGTGTTTCTGTCAATATCAAGAATTATTTGATCATGATTTACTGCGGAAAGTGAAGTTGTCATCGCACATTCAGGCGTATTTTTTTTGTAACCTTTCATTTTGTTCCAGCTTATTAGTGTATTACAAATGACAGTGAACAGGTGGTGATGGACGCTGGATCAGATAAGCGTGTCTCCGCTCACCCTCTCCTGCTGCTGGGTTTCACACATCACCTCCTCTCTCACCTTCCTGCCACTTCCTGAGTGAAAAAGAAGAGTGTGCTCTGTCCAGCTGAAGTCAAGGGGGAGGGAGGGGGTGAGAGAGGAGGGAGATGCTTGTGTTTTTGGACCCATGTAAGTGTGCTGGTGATTCACATGTGGGATGTCAGGACGTCCTGTTTCCAAACACTGAGCAGCTTCTGTCTCCAAACAAGAATGTCCAAATATCTTGCAGCATTGGCGCTACCTTCAATCACTTTCACTGCATAAACACAATCTGAATGAACAACCCAATATCCAATCATTAACACACACATTTCCAAACTCTGCTTTCTTGTTTAACAACATGTGGCAATCAAGATATCAGGAATTTGTGGATCTCCAAAATCCTGGGTACAATTTCCAAATATAAACACCGTGGGAATGTCCGGCCATCACACTGCTCCAGAGATGGGTGCTGTGTCCCTGGGATGTGCATATTTTGGACATGAGTTTGTGAATCAACCTCAGAAAAAGCTAAAGACTATGTAAAGATGTTGACTGAAGCTGGTAAGAGAGTTTTTTTTAGCTACAGGTTCCTCATTTATCGCTGGGGTTACGTTCTAAATAATAACCCGCAAAAAAAGTAGCAGCAACATGTTTTGAGGCTGTAAAACCCCTCACCTCACATTGGATACACTTTTCTATCCACCTGAACTCTTGACTGCTGAAGCGCGATCGCAGTGATATCGAACCTGTCTGAGTGCTGCTGCAGCTGTCAAAAGCCATGCATACACTGTACAATGGAGATGCAGAGACACCGCACTGAGGGCAAGAGCAGGACTGAGGGTTACTGGAAGACCGCGGCCACTTTACCACTTATTACTCAGATCGTCTCATACCTGCACTAGTTATGCACTGATTACATGTTTATAGTGTAATATTTTGTCTATTGTGACATAGTGTTCCAGCACAGGCCTTTTTTGTAGCCATTTCTAATATGTTTCTACTTGATTTGCCAAATAATGCTTACGTAAATTGCTAGTTTGAGATGTTTTGTTCACTGACAATGCCAATAAAAACATTTTAAATTTGATTCAAATAATATGGACTCATTGTTCAGTTTTGTCATTGTGTAGACCTAATCTGGTCCCTATATATAATGTGAACTCATAGTAGGTTTTTTAAGGAATTTATGGGTTAGGGTTAAAGCTGAAAAGGGGTTCTAACTATGAATCACTCCCGGAGAAATAAGGAGTGATTCTTGTTAATATGATTCAAGACATTGTAAAAACAATATAAGAGGGAGATTTCACTTTTGTGTCTCCCATTGTAAATATATCAATCAATCTTTATTTGTAGAGCACATTTAAAACAGCCTAAGCTTACCAAAGTGCTGTACAAAGTGGGAAAAACAGCAACAATAAAAACACATAAAAGTACAGAAACATATACACACATAAAACACACAAACTTTCATTTAAACTATCCTTTTCCCATAGGTTTTAGAGTTTGCCCACATTGCATTGCATTTTCTTAAGTATTTTTAATGTCATATTAGTCTATCGGTTTCCGCTCCTATAGACTTGTTCTCTCACACATGTCGGTATAGCCCCGGATTTGGACTCTAATCTGGTTTAAGAGTCTTACATGTAACCCAATCTAAATCTGTGTGTTCCTCTGTCCACCTCATAGTTATTTTACCACCACTATTAAGAGTTTGATCCCCAAAATGTCCCATATAATATCTCTTGGTAACTACAATAACAGAAGGAGAGGGAAATTGTTGAAAAAATAAAGCAGGGGGATTGAGGGCCTGGGTTTTTGGGGGGTTAGGATCAGGACAATGGGTTGAGTACTAGACCAGATGTTAAAAATGACTTAAGCAATATGTCATCTAAACAGCACACAGCAGAGGGATTTCGAGAGGCTAAGTCCAAGCACATAAACGGTGGAAAATTGAAATTACTGCAAGCTTCTTGAAAATCTCAAACGGATTCAGAGACCAGCTGAAAGGAAGCATCATTCAAGTGGCATTTCTCAGAGAATTAGGGTAATATCAACTTGTTTGACCACAGGCTTGGGGCGAAAACATAGAGACTGTATTAGGAAACAAAGAGGGCTACTGAGCGCTAGTTTGGTGCTTATTTAACAGGAAAAAAGTTACTTAAAGATGGAGTGGGCAACTTTCAAAACACAAAAAAGTTTGGTTTCTATCACAAGTTTTCACAAGCATGTATTTTTTGGCCTCTGTCACATTGTAAGATCAGCTTTTACAGACAGCAAAGTGAAAAAGAGACGACCATTCTCACTCAACCAATCAGCTAATAACGGCTTATTAACCGAGCGCGAGGTCTGTATGGAGAAATATCATACCTGCCTTAATGTACAGACTGCCTTAATGTACAGACTGCCTTAATGTACAAACCGAGCCGTGGCGAGGTCTGTGCAAAAAGGCCAAGGTCTGATATTTCTCTGTACAGACCGAGCAAGCGAGGTAAATAAATGTTTTATTATATGACTCTCGTCTGTGTCTTTACCAATGAATTTGAGATATTTGTGAAGTATGTTCATGTCCGACTTGGTTTTGTGTGATACGGGCTGTGGACCGATTGTCATGGTAACGGTCCGTGGAAAGATATCAAATGTGATACGCGCTGTTCGGACCAATTGTTATGGTAACGGTCCGAGATGGGAAAATATCAGACCGCAAATCAACCAATCAGAGCGCGCGTACGGTCCAAGTCATATAATAAAGTGTCATATTGTGGCTCACAGGGATCATGTATACAAAAAAGGCAACGTTTTCTCTTGAGATGAAGACTTGTTGTGGTCTGATTTGTTCACAATGTTTTACTTTTACCTTCTGGGGAATAAAATGTATGAAGACAATGTTAGCTTCCGCGGCGTTAATCTTAAACCAGAATAAATATAGTGTGTCAAACCTTTGGTGAAGGACTGGTCTATGGTAGCCTGGTCATCTGTAAACTCCAGTCAATTATCATTTCCCTACATGTACGTCTGGGTCTGATCCTAGTGGCTGCGGTTTCTTCGGTTGAATCTCCTCCGACCATTCAGTGAGCGCGGGAGGCGGGTGTTGTAGGGAGGTGTCATGACGTCAAGAGTTTGCACCCAATTTCCTGGTTGTAGTTTGGCAATAGGCGGAGAATGCGATAGTAAAGGCGGCTCTTCAATCCGTTCTGATTTGGCTCCCTAATATCAAGAAATTGAAGCCGACGCAAGAGGAATGTTTAGTAAATGTCATCTCTGGCAAAGATGTTATGGCTCTACTCCCCACGGGCTCCGTTTGTGGCAAAGGAGATTGCTAAAGCCAGGCTAAATGTTAAAGCTAGGGTAAATGCTAAATGCCTCACTCACTCGGGCGCAGTACATACGTCATCAAGCTCAGATCCAATCGTTTCATCTGCAAAAGGAGGTAACCCCTCCCACCTGCAGCTCAATGGAGCAAATCCAGACCAAAGTATGAAATGAAATGAGTAAGATGATGTGGTAAGTCCAGGCTCGGTCTCTGATAGAAGAATTTGAAGAGTTAATGGATGATATTGTTTTGACATCAACATAGAGGATAAAACTGGCTCAAACATTCGAGTCAGTACAAACACAACTCCTAGGGGTTTTCTTTTGTGAGACTTCGTAAATGACTTCCCAAACCTGTTCCGCTGTCTATCAGTGTCCTAATCTTTGTTTGCTTTTAGTCCTGCAGTTATTCTCCTGCACCAAACAGGTCAAATCTCTTTCTCTCATTCTCTGTATATCTTTTCCATTGAGCAAAAACATAGAATACTTTTACTTTATCAGAAAAACCTAACGCTGGGGAAACTGTTTTTAAAACTGGGTGTGCAATCTACCAAAGTATTTTATGTCTATTCACAAACACATACAGCATAACACATGATTACCTGCATGCATATTTTTTTACCTTTAGCAAAACTTTTGAACAACTGTTTTCTGGCAGGAAACTGATCCATTTTGAACAATTAATGAGTTTACAATCGCTAAAATTCTTTGTAATTTGCAGAAGATAATGTATGTGAGTATATTAATCAATTCAGGTGCTAAACTACAAGTGAAAAGGAATGAGGTGCACACTACAAAATAAAGATAGCCCGAACTTTATATTTTATTCTTAAAGTTATGTGCTTACAATGCACTTACTAGAGGGAAAAACAGAATGAACGTATGAGCGCTACAATCCAGCACCTTCCTTTAGAATCATTTTTATAATCTGTTGTATTGGCCTCAGTGCTTCACTACATAGCAGACATAACCAGAATACCTGACCATAACAAAAGAAGACTGTGTTTTATCGCTCTGTGGGTGTGAGCACGTGTGTGTGAGAGTTTGTGTGCATGTGTGCGAGAGTTTATGTGTCTGTGTGTGTGTGTGTGAGAGAGTTTGTGTGTGTGTGTGTGTGTGTGTTTGTGTGTGTGTGTGTGTGTATGGTTGGGTGTGACGACCTTATTCTCAACATTGTGCACCACAGATGCACAGAAGAAGAATTGTTCAAACTTTGTGTCTGCCATAATCCTTTTAATGAGGCAATTGTTTGTGTGTAAACATTACTTATTCACAGATTTGGTTATGATAACGATTTATGATCACAAACAGAATCAGTTCAAGATTTACTTCATGGGAACACTGGATACCAAACTTTTCAGACAAGGCCCAAACGTTGTGACATTGCACCACCACGTATTGCACCGCTCCGTATTGAACTGATCATTTATCATTTATAGTCATGGTTTGTAATCATGATAAACTAATAATCACGTGTTTGTTTGTGCCACAGCCACACTTTTAAATGCCCCCTAAAGGTAGAGATACTTGCAATTTCCCTGAGTGACAGTGGAAAACTATCCCCAAAAGTTTTGACAAAACGTTCTGTGAGAAAAGACGGCCGCCTAAATGCTTATTCACAGTCACCTTTTACAGTGGCTCAAGTCGCTCGAGACTTTACTGTCTATGCTCGAGACCTAGCAGTACCAGACTATAGTTTGATAAATCACTCCGGACCATGCAAAACATTAGACAAGGTGATTTGAACAATTTGATGCTTGCATAATTTAACAATGGAATACTTCAGATAGGACTGAGTAAATTCACCCATTTGATATAAAATGTATTATAAATCCATTTTATACACTCTTCATTAAAGACAATACACAAAAATAACTTCACTAAATCACTGTTTACTCACAAAACATTCCCTCATCAGAGAAGGTTTTAGTAAAACCAATTATAGTATATATTATTTCCTATGTGAATCAGCTACATCCACAAACACATATTATATATGTATTATCCATATACACTGCAACATTAATTGCACACAACACGACACGACACAGCTCATCTGCTGAAGTTGAAATGATTATTTGCAGTTTGTGCGCAGGACATTTCCCTCGGTGCATCCGGTCTGCTGTGCGCTGGAGCTGAAAATAGACGGTTAGAGGTCCACCTGCCCGCGCTCTGCTTCCTGCCCTGATGATAGCTCTGTCCCAGTGCAGGAGAGAGGGGGGAGGCTGGGGAAGGAGGGGGGGTGCAGATGTCCCAGGCCGAGCTGCTGCTGCTGACAGAGGGGCAGGTAAACTGTGATCTCACCTGCTGGGAGAGCCTCGGGGCTTTGGGAGCGGAGGAAACGAGAGCTTTAGCCGAGCGGACCGTCATGGGACCTGTCATGTGTGCAGATGTAAACTCACGCAGGTGCAAATGTATATGTGGACTTTACATTACATTACAGAACTCTCAAGTGTGACATCATTTATCACTTCCTGGGGACAAAGACTGAACTTCATCAGAGTTCATGATCTGCATTTTTGAATTAAGCTGAAATATGGGAATGAATAGCGTCTGAGAATACCAGTTTTTTTACAGTTTTTTTATTGGTTGAATACTCTGATTCTGTATGCATAAAGTTAGATACATAAAGAAAAATGTATTTGATAAGGTAAGCTATTATGCTAACATTATGCTAACAACTATCAGCAATGTTTACTAAACTAATGCCATCAACTTTTATAACAAAGAAGGTAAGGCAGGTTTATTTGTATAGCACAATTCATACACAAGGCAATTCAAAGCACTGAGCAAGACAAAATAGCATTAAAGTCATAAATAATCACAGTACATTATAAAGAAAGAAGAGGACAGAGAGGTCTTGTAGAAGTGTTTTTTACATTATAAAACAGATTTTCACAGATGATATGACAATTAGACCATGAACCCGGGAAAAATGGGGTCCAGGTTTTATGTCTTTTGTATCATTGTTTCAAAGCCCTGTTGTTATAAATAGCTGTGAAGTACCCACCTACTTCCTGGTTCCACAGTTTAAAAATGCATTTTTAAAAAAAGAATTGTTTTGTGTTTTCAAACTACTTGGATTCTTCTAAACCTCTATGAAGATAAATATTTCTTTCGTAACTCAAGCGGACTGCCCTCTCTTTAGCTCCATTTGCATAATGTGAAAACTGTGAAAACTTTACTTTGTGTAATCTTAGATACAGAATATATAGGAAAGGTTGGCACTAATATGATCTATTGTATGTCAGCATGATTGTTACATTCACTGTGACATTCTTAAGGGGAAGACAAAATTAGCGGACTTTTTTCCTAATTTCTTCAATATGACACTTTGATATCCAAAGGAGTACCTTAACTATTCTGTCGTGAGAAGAAATCAAGGAAGGACCCAAAAAGCTGGAATGTAAACAATTATTATTTTATGGAAAGAAAGAAATAAAACTCCAGGGAAAAAACAGGAACCAGGAAAAGAGACGAACCAAGACAATGGACCAGCAACAAAAGGGTAAAAGCACAGGGTACATACAGAGAGATACAGGTGAGACAAAACTCCAGAGAACAAAAGTAAAAAAAGAAAAGAGATAGTACAAAATAACTACAAATCCACACCATGATATATACAAAGGCCTTGGCCAATCTACATATATATTCTTCATGGTTATAAAGACGGACAAACTGTTTGTCCACAATGGTCATGAATCTACAAACACTGGGAAATGAGTTTTTGTATATCTGAACTATTAAGCTCCTGTTTGAATATTGTCTTGTTTAATTATTCTCGTGTGTCTCTGTCCCAGGTGCAGTCGGGTAAACACACCCAGGAAAAGAGGAGGAGGCCAGAGGTGCAGAGGAACAGCCTGGGGCAGACCACAGCAGCAGCAGCACAGGTGGGCCGGGACAGTGTGTGTGTGTGTGTGTGTGTGTGTGTGCGTGTGTGTGCGCGTGTCTATGGGTGTGTGTGTGAATGGAAGTGGGAGAAAAATCAACTCTACATGATTCCGGCATGGACCACTATTTTACATTATTTGCAGATTCCCATTGAAAATATGATATCAACGTAATCTAAAGTAGATTAAAGTAGACATGCATTTTTCCTAAGAATATGAATGATATGAGATGTTATACCGCACTCATTCTGGATCCAAATTTTAGGCAGCTTATTTAAGAAGTGTGTTGTGGAAACAGACAAACATGGAGCTTTGAAATGACAGGGGACTACAACAATCCATAACGAAAAAAATTAAAAGAAAAACACTTGAAAAGTAGAGAAATGTTTGTTGGAAGCCAGATTGCTCTCTAGAAAGTCTCCTCTATTCTTTTGGCCTTGACGGAGCGCACCCAAGGACTAGAATTGAAAACATGCTTTATAGCTATAATCAAATCAATAAAAACAAAAAGAGTACAGAACTCACTTGACTTGTAAAGGTACCAGCTTAAATTTAAAAGAGTGTAAATATTGTCTACATATAGGCTGTAATGTAACACATACACAACAGCTGATGAGCAAAACAAAGTTGATAGACGACTGATTTAATGACAAAGCTCTCTGTTTAATCCATTCTATTTTCACCATAAACATGACTTTCATCCAAAATAAAACTTGAGTCTGAATTTAAAAGCCCATAAACTTTGTTCTGCTGTTCACATAAACACACCAGGAAGCAGGAATGTTTGCTATGTCATCATGTCTAGAGATCAACAGTTGATAGAAGAAGTAATTTGGACATAGCTTGAAATGAATGAGATACATACATTGATGGCATGGCTCAAAAAAGATTAACAAAGTGAAGGCTTATATTCCAGAAGTTATGGAAAGTATAAGTTTCTCTAAAATAGATAAAGAGCTCTTTCTTTTTTTTTCTTTTTTTTTACAGCCAGGGCTCATATTGTTGTACTTTTACATTTCTTCTACAATCCTAATGACATGGACATAATTGCTATTAACTATTACTGCTTATTCAACATTAAAACAACATTAGTTTTTTTATACAGTCTTCCCCCACGATTGGGAAAAATTGCATAAGACAGAAACACCGATAACCCTCCAGTCACATCCTTTAAAACCTACTTAAGTAAATAATTGCAGTGAAAGTATCCAGTTCCTCCCCTCTCCGCCTGTACATATATATCACATTACAGGTCCATAGGAAGTGCGCGTTGCAGCCTCTTCCTGTGCCTTACGTAATGTTTGCATTTTCAGGTCAGCTCCTGTTTTATGGAGGTCTATCTATTCAGCCACAGGAAGGACCTTCAGGAAGCCCAAACAACCCCAGCCTGTAAATGCTCTCGTAAACCACAATCGACAGCTACGTTCGCCACTTTTAGACCCGCTAATGACAAAAGAACCCACGGAAAATGTGGCGGAGACTGGTCTGCCCAGGCTTCATCAGCGGTGCAGCATTAGTCGGACATTAAAGGTTGAGCAAGAGAAAAAACTTGGAAGTGTACCCATATTAGTCTCATCTGTGGTATATGTTTATTGGAAGTAGTGGGGGTGGTGGTGGAATGATTAATAGCCTGAAAAAAACCTTGTAGAAATCAAAATATAATGAATATATAAGTGGAGACCAGATCCAAGTTTGATTTTTCATAGAGAACCCTCAATGTGACTTGTGAAAAAAAAATGCTAAAAAAATAAAAATAAATATCTGGTCAATAACTTAATAAAAAAACAATTCCAGGATGGAAAAAGTAGAATATTTAGCTTTTCCCTTAAAAAGTTTGTTGCTGGCTCCATCTAAATATCATTGTTTTTATTGACATTAATGACAAGCAGTTAAATTACTTGTCATATCTGAGTAAGAATTCAGATTTTTGAGCAAGAATAGAATAACGTACAAGCTTCACACCATACTCAGCAACATTCTAAACAAATACATACAATCAGTATTTTTTAACATAAGCGCTGTAAATATTTTTTCCAAGAATTTGTACTTTAGCTACTTTCTATTCATATTTTTTCTCTATTTTCTGATCACTTTTACTCCTTACTTTTAAACCAACATATCTGTACTTTCCACTACTTACACTTTAGAATGACTTGGGTAAGTCATCTATTTGAATTCATTTGTTGTCGTTAGCCACGCTCCTAAGTTCAGATAACCATTTATTGAGTTTGTCATATTCTCTGCTCGTATAAAAACAATTAAAAGGACATAATAAGTGTTATAAATATCTCAAATACTTATAATTTTCCGCAAACAATCATTTTACTGTTTTACTCACTAACTTACTTACTTTTTAGAGGGCAGGTGGACCTCTAACCATCTTATACCAGAGTTCTTTTAAGTACCCAAGACAAGTGAGTTTCCCAACTCTGATCTCCATAGCAACAGGCCGGTAACGGACCCTATACAGCAAAACCAATGCATCTTTAACATTTGATTAATTACTCACGATAGCAAAGCTCAATTTCACCACTGTTTTTTGCAAATCGACGGAGGAAGCAAGTGTGGAGAATAAGCGTCTCCTGCGTTCAGTCTTTCCAAATGTTTGGGTGTAGCTGCAGTTCCTAAGCCCCCGTTATAAATGACACCAGTGAATGACAGCTGTTTCCGTGCATTTGGGTTTTAAGGGCTGTAAGGCACTAAGGAGCAAGTGTTACAGCTCTGTCCACACCACTGTGTTTCCTACGTAAAAAACATGTCCTCTGACCTTTTAAAATCAATGCGTTTTCACTTTAAGGAGGTGCCCTTCCAGTTATAGCTGTTATTTAAAGACTCATTGGCTATTCATAAAGAGTTACTATATAGTCACAAAGAGTTTAAAACAAAATATTTTATGTTTTGAATGTGTTTGAATATGCTTTTCAAAAGACTGTGGGGAGCTGGAACCATTGCTAGAGCCACTTAATAGTATTGTATATAAAATGCTTTGCACACTTTTTAACCTGTTTGCACATTTCCTGTCTTTTTGCACTCCCTGTTTATGCCAAATGTGATATGTGCATTTCTCCATAGTGAGCTTGTTATAGAAATTTTATAATTGTTGTATAAATCTTGTAATTGTTAAAGAAATCTTGTAATTGTTGTAGAAATCTTGTAATTGTTAAAGAAATCTTGTAATTGTTGTAGAAATCTTGTAATTGTTAAAGAAATCTTGTAATTGTTGTAGAAATCTTGTAATTGTTAAAGAAATCTTGTAATTGTTGTAGAAATCTTGTAATTGTTATAGATATCTTATAGTAAAGCAATCTGAATTAACATCAAATAGTTATAATTGTATGTTATAAACTAATTCTCAGCTCTATTCACAATCAAGTTTATCTTATTGTATCCTGTCTTAACCAATGAACAGCCTACTTGTATTCTTCCCAGTATCCACAGGCTAGTCCTATAATATAAAATGTTCCTTGTGCTTCAAAAAAAAGTGCTTCAAAAGTGATTTAATGTATGAAATGGATTATTTAACACCCAACATGTAAAGCAAATGACTTGTTATAGTTGCCATGTGTTCCCTGAATTAATTCCTATCATTGTGAATAGAGCATTCATGCATTATTTATAACAGGATGTTCCAATCTTCTTGTGCTTGAACCTCTTTCATCCACTGTAAAACACATTGCATTGTTGTTTTTAATTCAACGCAGACCTGATTATGGATCACTTGATCTATGATTTGACACATGATGCTGTACTAATGCGTGCACTGCGAAAAGTGATTAAAAAATATCTAAAATTCCTCAAATTCGGTAAACATTGATCTTGATTTGAGCACATTTTGACTGCCTTAAAACAGGATTTGCCGATAGGACAAAGCTAAATGATCTTGATTTAAAAAGACACAAGAAATGTTGCTCTTGGAATGAGAAAATAACGTAACCATTCTTTAAATAAGACGAAATGGCTTTGTCCCATCGGCAAATCTTGTTTAAAGACAGTCTGGACTCAAATTCAAATAAAAACCTCTCAATTCATGCATTTAATACCTCACACTTGATCATGTTTTGCAGTGTGTAATGGATCTGCTTATGATCTTCCTGCAGATTGCACAATGTTATCTTTCTAATACTGACAGTTACATAAATTACAATACGGGTTATGTTACTGTACCATGTTATTATGTCAGAGCGTTCATACTGTATGTCTCAAGGACTGTTGCAACCCAGGAATTGAAGACACAAAACCAGTGAGTCATATTTAACAATATATATTTCCATTGTCAATGTACATTCCATTTTGACATAAGCTTTCTTCACAAACAAAAAGTTGGCATCTAAATAAATACTATATAAAATAGAACTTCAAAATAAATATATCTATAAAGGGAACTTTTATATGAGAGATATTTTTTTGTATCATTTTGTTATATCTAAACAAACAAAAGCACAGATTTCTGTATCCCCCCCCTCCCCAAACATCAACATCTGCAAAAGGCAAACTATAGGAATGGAGTACTGCTATCCATTGAATGAGAGACATGAAGAAGGTCATGTAGAATCAAAGCCATTTTTAAATAGACTAGCTAGCATTTTGAGTAACGTATAAAGCTAATTTCAGCACACTTTTGGAGGGCGATTCTAATACAAAACAGGAGAGAAAAAAAAAAAAACAATCGCTAAAAGTTATGGCACCAGAAACAGCTGAAGCAGACGTGAGCAGTGAGAAAGAGAGAGGGATTGGACTCTTCTTTCACTTCCTCCCTCTTTCTGGTATGACAAGTTTATGCATCGCAGCTGTGTTTGTCAATCAAAAGGCCTGGGCTGTTTGGTCGGATCATTTTGTACTGAGAGGGGAATAGAGCAGAAATGGCCGCTCGTGTGCCCTGTGTGAGTTCAATGCCCCCAGTCTCCAAAAACGCAAGGGAAGAATGAGCTTATATACCCACTGCTAATGAGCCATGGTGTTTTTCTTATTGCAGAAGGACACTCTTTTCCAAATCAAGTGTGACAGAAAACATTCATCCCCTTTCCGCCCCCAACAATATAAATCTACAATATATTCTCTATATACTCTTGATTTGTAGTTATAATGTACCATGCAATCTTTCAAGGGACATTTGAAAGCCCCTTCTAAAGACACACAAATGTTGTGAAATTATTTACAAGCAAAGAACATTTCACCTGCATAGCTCTAGTTCTAAATATATTGTCAAAACATTTGTGATTTTTCCTTAACACACATCGTCTAAGTCATTTTTGGCACCTTTCGTCTCGACCTAAGTTTAAAAAAATATTGCCTCATACATTCAAGACAAAAGACATTCTAGCTGTTTGTTTTCTCTAGTGAATTATATTATAGCAATGTGCAACTAGACAGTAAGGACTTCCCCATGAACAAAGCAAAAGAAAAAAAAAAACAAGAAAAATCTAATATCTCCATTTTGGTGCATAACAACTGTGTCCACTCAAACATGCTGCTACTACAACAATTCTTTCCTTTGGCAACGTCCTGTCTGGGTGCCCAATGCAAGCCACATAGAAATAGGCTTTAAGAATAAAAAGATTTCGACTAACGTAGCTATGCAGCATAACAACTAGACTGACATGAAGAAGACACTTGTGTGCGCGTGTGGGTGTGGAGAGGGGAAGAGGGGAGGGGCCGGGCTATATGCGGCTCAGGCCAACGTAATATGAGATCGCAGAGGTGGCTAATAACACTGTGCTTTCGTTCATCTGCTATAAGGGGTCTTCTGGGGGAAAAAAAAATAAAAATAAGGAAAAATAATAAGGTTTGTGCAAGTGGCAGGTCGATTTTTTACTAAGGCTAAAAAGATACCGACATCTTTTTTTTCACTCACTTGCTTTAAATGATTCAACTATTGCCTTTCGTGCCCCTAAATGATTCTTTGCCCACGTTTGCAAAGAGGGAGTAGACTAAAAGGCTCTTAGGCAGTTGTAAAATCAGCATGCTATCGGCCAGACGGTAACAGTCCCTGAGAAGATCGGGTGAACTTTATATATTTCTCTACGACACATGGACTCTAGCACAGGTGGGAAACCATTAGACTAAAGCATGCAGGTCGTGACATGCAGTACCTCCGAGGTGATTGGTGAACAACATTCGCAATCTGTTCGGGAGGAATTTACCTCGATAAACTCGCTATAAAGTGATTATGTTTCTGATCCGCTTCCACAGAGCACAACGCAATGGGAAAATTACTATTATTTCAAAGACTCAACGTGTTTGTTTTTACAGCTCCTCCACGGAGATAAAGTGTTAGCAAGCTAGCATCTTTAAGCTGAAAGAGGAAGCATGGCGACGCTAAGTGATGGTGATGGTCATAATAGAGGAGAGAGTGAGAAAAGTGGTGGTTTCACACCTCCAAGAACTATCATAAACCGCGTGTGAAGGTAATCAGGGTTTGGTGCAGACAGAGGGACAATGCCCTGTGCTTTTGGGGCAGGGAAGTTTACAGATATTAGACCATTCTGGTTAGTTTACCTTTACAAAAATTAGCTGAGAAAAAACAGAGCAGCAGAGAGGTACAATGACTTTGTGCCTTCAGCCATCTTTTGCAAAATAAACCAACTCCAGTCCTACAATCTTGTCCCAATGGCCTGTTACTCGGCGGGGTTCTTAAATCCTCCTGTTAACACAAGGCCAAGAGCCACTAAGTACCGTAGTTTTACAGTCATGTTCCAGCAGATACACGGGATCATACGGGATGTTTGGATTGTCCGATCCATTGAACAAGAAAGCGCACCCCGCACTGGTGTAGTTCTAATACTTTGGTCCACTATCATGACCCCGGCTGCTTCTCTATTGTCCCGATCTTAGCCTCCACACTTTTACAAACATTTGTAGGGCCTTGTAAGTTCTTACAGCGGCAGCCGGGTCTGCTGACCTTGTCGTAACATTTTTGTCCCAGTTTTGCCAGTCCAACGGCTGGAAGGTAGCAGACCAGGCAGGGCAGGACAAAGGAGAGCGCGGTCATAAAGGACCAGCGGGCGCAGCAGTGGGCTTGCGAACAGGAGCAGGGTTTGTCCGCACATGAGCCTTCATCGTCCTCATCCTCGGTGCAGTGGTAGAAGATGCCTTTGACCAGGCACATGCAGGTGGCAGTGTCCACAAGGCTCTGGGCGGAGCACAGACACTCCTGGTTACACACCCAGCAGGAGGGCAGGGTCCGGGGCAGTTTGCACTCTGTGCAGCGGCACTTTCCACACGTCTCGCAAACCACCAGGTGCTTCTTCTCCGCGGGAGAAGAGGGGATTAGAGACAACGTGTGCTGCCCAATGGTGGGGCACGACCCCCCACTGGACACCTGTGCAGACTTGAGGTCCAGAGATTTGGAGGTGCAGGAAGAGCTGAGAGTTTTCGTCTCAGAGGAAGAGAAGCACGCGGGGGTCCGGCTGACCGTGTTGATGGCACTGGGGTGCAGGTTTGAATGGTGGTCCACCACAGGGGTGGGGGCAGCGTGGTCCAGCAGCCTCTGGTCTGAAGAAGTGCTGCTGCTGCTGCTGATGGAGCTGGGCCTCCCGCTGAAGGAGATCCAGGGATGAGTGGTGCTGTCCTGGTGCAGATGTAACTGTTGGTGGTTGTGATGGAGGTTGTGGTTGGCTCCCAGAAAGTTCTCTTGACCCTGCCCCACCCACGTGACCCTGCGGGTTGCCTTCTGACTCGGGGGTTGCTGGGACACCACGGCCGGGCTGTCGATGTAGTCATTCTCCATGTGTGTGGACTTGATCTGGTCCAGGGGGTAGATGGTGAGGTGCTGCAGGCGGCCATAGGGCACTCGACTGTCCAGCAGAGGCTGGGACATGAGCGAAGAGGACACCCCTGGGATGTGCTGTGGGACCCTGGACTCCATGTGTGGGCTGCGGCCGGGCACGTCTCTCTACAGCAGCATCCAACACTGCAGAGACAAAAGGTTATTAATAGGACAATCCTATTAGAGCTATCGATCTTTCACACTGGATCTGCCTGTTTCCCACCACCAACAGGATGCAAATGCAAGGAACATTATGTATGTAGTTGCCCCTAAAGCAAGAAGACATGGACTATAATTTATTACTGAAGACCAGCAGCTTTTGAATCCTCCTCCTTTTTAACTTTGACATTAGAACAATGGAAGTTGGGCTCTCGTCGCCTCTTTGGGAGATCCACGGAGCAGGGCTTGCATGCAAAAGACCCAGAGATGCAAAACGGTGCAAAGCAAAGAGGAAAAGAGGTTGGCAGAGGGGAATTTAACAAAGACTCTAGTGGGCTTAAGAAAAGCCTTTTGTATTGGGCACCAGATTAATAGGTCAGTTATTAACTTATTTCTAGTTATGCGTTATATAATTAGTCATATCAATTCAATATGGGCTTCAGATTTGTGAATGAACCAGTGAACGAGCCCGGGCCGTTTTTTTATGAATGGAGGCTGATGGCTGACTCGGTGTTGCAAGTATGAATCAGAGAGCTCTCGTCATTATGAGCCTCATTGAAAAAAAAAAGTCAATGCATGGGGCCAGTCCGCGTGCGCAGACCTAACCTACTTCACAAAAACAGAAGATAATCAGCGGAAGCATCATTTCCACTGACCCACATGTCCGGAGGTTATAGTTACGTTATAATAAACATAGCTCAAATGACTGCAATAGCTTTATCACATACAATGACCATGGTCCTTATAATACTAATAATAATACTCTGGACGCGCAATTTCATCTGGTGCCGACACTATAAAAAGAACACTGACCAGCTGCAATCACTGAAACAAAAATGTTTGGTTGCTTATGGCAGCGATAGGCGATTACCCACCAAAGACCCAGCTGTTTTTATTTGTATTTTTTGCCTGATTTGTGCAGTTTTGGGTGCGTAGACCTGTTGCAACACTGCCACTGCTGCTGGCGCTCATTCCGCTGTGCTTGTGATCGTCTAATCTCGACCATTATATGAGGCTCCAAGCCGGAACTGTGCGTGTGCGTGACTGTTCGTGTGTCCCTCCCTAGCTCCCTTCAATATGTGAATGGACTGAGTCATAAAAAAAAATACGGAGGCGTCCGCTCTTGCACGCTCAAATAGCATGTTTATATGGACATCGCATTCGCCTATCAGGACATTATGGCTGGCTTGTGTGCCTTTTTGGGAAGCCTTTTGGAACAGTGTGTGGCTCTAAAGCGAAGTCCTTGCTTATAGTTTAACGCCAGCGACATCAGCACTATAGATAGACAGTAATCCAAAACGCCTGATCTCACAACGATGCAAGAATATAGCAATAATATATAAATACAGCATTGATATGAAGTTGGGTAGGTTGGACGCGGTATATACCAGCTTCGTGTCGCTTTCAATGCACTACTCACAGCGCTGGGAAATTTGCAAGAAATATTACGACTAGAATTTGCTTTCCCGATGATATTAACCCACGCTTTTAACACATGACACACACGCACACACACACACACACACACAGGTGGTGGATGTGTATGACAGGACATATTTGAGTACAAAAGTCGCCTGCAGCTAGTAACAATTTAATAACGACACCACGGGAAAGTGCGCTATACTCACCAATTCAGGATAAAACAGCCATCTCTCCTTGCTGCTGGCTGGTATAATCCAATAGATCCTCAATAAATCGTGTAAAGTCCAAGTGTCTTATTGCTTTTTTTGGTTCTTGACGTATATCTAAGGCCGTGCTGTGGAGAGAGCGCGTCTGGGTCTCCTCTCCCCTGTGCGTAAAAGGCAAAGACTGAAGGCGCTTGTGGCCGCGGCTCAGGTTTTGGGTCTTGATGTTGCAACCAGCTCCACCACCGGAAAAAAGGGGGAGGGCTGTGGCTTTTTATGAATGGGAGGGTATTGAGGTCTGCGTCTCTGCGTGAGCTCCTTGTGAATGGCAGAGAGAGAGGGAGAGAGACAGAGAGAGAGAGAGGGAGGAGGTTACATTTTTATGAATGGGGAGGACTCCGAATGGAAAAGCGCATGCGTCGTGTGGAGATTTTTATGAATGGGGAAGAAATGGCGAATGTGGCCCAGTGTGTGTGTGTGTGTGTGTGTGTGTGTGTGTGTGTGTGTATGAAAGGGGTGGAAATGACAGGGGGGGGGGGGGGGGGGGGGGGGGGAGCTGGAAAGCAGGAGGAGGGGGATTTTTTTTTCTTTTTAGTCACAAGGGCAAAGTCAGGAATGATTTACATACAACTACACAATCTTGTCTCCGTGATGGCGCTGCTTTGCCTGCGCCTGATGGACGGTCGTGAGTGGGCGGCGTGCGCAGTGGATTTGGACTGTTGTTAGGTGCAAGAATAGCAATGAGATGCTCTGTCAATTACAACACAATATATAGTTTTGTGATGACTAGAACACGGGGATCACGTAAAGGGTTGTGTTATCTATGAATGAATAGGCTTATTTAGTATTATCATAGATTCTCGATCCGGGCTCCTCTGCTCTGGAACGACCTGTCCGAGGAGATAAGGCTGGAACCATTAGTACCTTCTATTAAATCAATTCTTCAAACACACTTTTATCTGCTTTAGAGAGTTAACTGTCTGTTGTAAACTCCACATGCTGTATTATACTGTTCCACATTGTCTTAGTTTTGTCTTTCTTGTTTCTTGTGTGCCCTCTATCTTAATTAGGCCCGAGCCCCGAACGGGGTAAGGGCCTATTGCTTTCACAATGGTGAAAACAAATGGTGGCGGTGCGTGACGGACGCGTCAGCGCCCGTCACTCACCAAAATGTGACGGTTGCGTGCGTAAACTCAAAAGCTTTAAAATGATGTATCAGGTGCCATTGAAACCTATATTGTTTTTGCTCGAGACGTTAACAAAAAAATTCCTTTTTTATTTATTAGGCCCGAGCCCCGAACGGGGTAAGGGCCTATTGCTTTCACAATGGTGAAAACAAATGGTGGCGGTGCGTGACGGACGCGTCAGCGCCCGTCACTCACCAAAATGTGACAGTTGCGTGCGTAAACTCAAAAGCTTTAAAATGATGTATCACATGCCATTGAAACCTATATTGTTTTTGCTCGAGACGTTAAAAAAAAAATTCCTTTTTTATTAGGCCCGAGCCCCGAACGGGGTAAGGGCCTATTGCTTTCACAATGGTGAAAACAAATGGTGGCGGTGCGTGACGGACGCGTCAGCGCCCGTCACTCACCAAAACGTGACGGTTGCGTGCGTAAACTCAAAAGCTTTAAAATGATGTATCAGGTGCCATTGAAACCTATATTGTTTTTGCTCGAGACGTTAACAAAAAAATTCCTTTTTTATTTATTAGGCCCGAGCCCCGAACGGGGTAAGGGCCTATTGCTTTCACAATGGTGAAAACAAATGGTGGCGGTGCGTGACGGACGCGTCAGCGCCCGTCACTCACCAAAATGTGACGGTTGCGTGCGTAAACTCAAAAGCTTTAAAATGATGTATCACGTGCCATTGAAACCTATATTGTTTTTGCTCGAGACGTTAACAAAAAAATTCCTTTTTTATTTATTTATTAGGCCCGAGCCCCGAACGGGGTAAGGGCCTATTGCTTTCACAATGGTGAAAACAAATGGTGGCGGTGCGTGACGGACGCGTCAGCGCCCGTCACTCACCAAAATGTGACAGTTGCGTGCGTAAACTCAAAAGCTTTAAAATGATGTATCACATGCCATTGAAACCTATATTGTTTTTGCTCGAGACGTTAACAAAAAAATTCCTTTTTTATTTATTAGGCCCGAGCCCCGAACGGGGTAAGGGCCTATTGCTTTCACAATGGTGAAAACAAATGGTGGCGGTGCGTGACGGACGCGTCAGCGCCCGTCACTCACCAAAACGTGACGGTTGCGTGCGTAAACTCAAACGCTTTAAAATGATGTATCACGTGCCATTGAAACCTATATTGTTTTTGCTCAAGACGTTAAAAAAAAAATTCCTTTTTTATTTCTTTCTTTCTTTTTTCTTCTGCACTTTGAGCCTTAATTTGACCCCCTGAACATGCATGAAAAGTTGTTAAATTTTGCCCAAAAATCAGACCTGGCGAAAAATTTGATATTTTGGTGTTTATTTTTATGGGACTCAAAAAATGACTGAACAGCGCCACCTACAACAGCCAAAATAATACCCCTATGGGAGTTTTGGAGATCAAGTTTGTCGTAAAGCCATGAAATTTGGTACACATGTTCCTCAAGTCAAGACAAGAAAAAAATATTATTATGGCTCTGCCCTCTGACAAACAGGAAGCCCATAAATTTCACTGCAAAATGGAAAAATGAACAGCAAAAGTTTTCATACATGTCGGTTGGAAAGCGACTCCTCCTCGGCCGTTTCACCGATTCGCCTCAAAATCGCTCCACATCATCTCAACACATGTACCTTCAAAATGACCTCAGGGATTTTTGATCAGTGAAACATTGTTCGAGCAGCGGAGCGGCAAAATGTGACCTTTTTTTGGCCGTTTTTGACAACATTAAATTTGCTCCCGTTTGCACAAACAAAGTCTGATTTGCACAAAACTTTAATACATTGTTCAACTCTAGGGTCTAGGTCATTTGAAAGTTAATTTATTCAAATTGACACATTAGCGCCCCCTACAGATTATTTCAACGTTTTAGATGGGCATTTTCAAATTTAGTTTTTTCAAAATGTTTGAAATTTTGCACATACATCTGTTTTGCCCTCTTGATTCAAAAAGTCAACAGGGTCCAAGGCTTATTTTTTACCCTGTTGCCGCGGCGACGACAAATGCGCCCCATTCATTGCAAATGTACACCTCACACAAACATCAAACCAGTCTCGGCCGTTTCACCGATTTGCCTCAAAATCACTCCACATCATCTCAACACATATACCATCAAAATGACTTCAGGGAATTTTGATCAGTGAAACGTTATTTGAGCAGCAGAGCGCCAGAAAGTGGCGTATTTTTTTTCAGTTTTTGACAATAGAAAAATTGCTTCCGTTTGCACAAACAAAGTCTGATTTGCACAAAACTTGAATCCATGGTTATGGTTAGGGTGCGATACATTGATCACTAGAGGTGGGGGACTCCCTCACGGACCACGGGGGTTTCTTCAACAAAGGCTGTGGACCTTACGGCTCCAAACGAGACTTCCTCATGGAATATGTGCTTTTCTTCAACAAAGGTGCAACGCATCTCAAAGTAAGGTCGCTCGGGAACGTCTTGTTTGTGGCTAAATGTCCGTGTGATTCGGTGTAACGTTGGTCTCACTGTGACCCACAACTTTCACTGTATTGCTGAAAACATTGTTCTTAAAATAAACCACAGTCTTAAGTCGCTGCTATGTCATTATTTCTCACAGAATTCTCTGTTCGGTTCAAAGTACCCATACCGCCAGATTATGAGACTGAAACAAATGCAATTTTAATTAGATCTTAATTAGATCTTAACGTCTTTAACAAATGACTAGTGCCCATCATTATTCTAAGGTAAATTCCCTTCATTTTTACTAGGTCTAATTAAAATCACCCTTAGAATCACGCATACATCTGTGAAAGCAGACAGGACGTTATTCTACCCAATTTAAGCTATCTTAGCATAGTTTAATTCCCCAACAAATTGCAAGTTTACTTCTACCACCAACAGTACGGAAGCCTCCGAGGACCATATGTCGTGTTTGACAGTGGTCCCCAACACCCGGCAGTTCACCAGACCACTAAGGAAAGAATTCTTTAGTTTGATAAATGACCGGATGTCTCCATACACTACTGCTCCACAAATGTGCCTCACGCAAGTGCACGGAGGCAGACATGTCTGTGTTGTGAAGCGGCACGCAATGCACAGAGGCGCTTTACCATGGATTTACTATAATATATAGTTTTACCATGGATCTATTATAATGCATAGTTTTACAAACCGTGTTGGCTCACTGAGGAACCACAATTAAACGTTGTTAGTGCGCAGCCCAAACATGGCGTGTGAACTGTAGGGACTCACTGAAGTCGGAGTGGCGTCTTCGAGGGTGGTACGTGGAGGCACTACGCTGGGGCTTGTGGCTGGTGGAGGACGTCCCAGAGGAGAGGGAGGGGGGGGGCTTACTCGTCCCATTGGTCATGGTCCGCGATCGGGACAAACTCAGGGTGCTGCCGGAGCGCATCACACTGGCCTCCTTCTGAAAGACCACAGCATCATGAAACTTTCACATACATTATTATTCACACAGCTAGCAGTAATGAAAAGGGTAAATGTAAGCAAAACAGAAAAACAATTAAGAAAAGGTTTAAATCATAGACAATTTTTCACAGTTCACAGTTTAAAAAAGAAAAGAAAGGAAAACCCTGAAACAAACAAATTCAACTCAAGAGTGACATTTTGTTGACATGAAGACTACACGGTGAGCTGCCTCTGAATTCAATTTTGTCCTTTCCAAAGCTCATAAATAATCAGTGCAATTTACTGATTAGGGTTAGGGTTAGGGTTAGGGTGGGCGGCACGGTGGCTGAGTGGATAGCACTCTCGCCTCTCAGCAAGAAGGTCCTGGGTTCGAATCCCGGCCGGACCAGGGCCTTTCTGAGTGGAGTTTGCATGTTCTCCCCGTGTCTGCGTAGGTTTCTTCCGGGTACTCCGGTTTCCCCTACCACTAAAAACATGTACAATAGGTCTGGCATGTGCCTCCTGTACTGGCCCCGCTCCCATCTCTGTGTGGAGTGAGAGGACAAGTGCCCAAAAAAATAACAATTGTAAACCGCTTTGTGACTCTGGTCTGTGAAAGGCGGTATATAAATAAAGCTTACTTACTTACTTAAAGGCCCTGAATTAATTTTTTAAAATAGATCGAAATTGTCTGAACACATTCTTGTTGTTCACCATAGTTAAAAATATACACTGAGACCAAATCAAGCATTCCACAGGATCAAGTCCTTCCACGTCGGACCTACAGCTCAGCCAAAACCCCAGCACCCAAGCAAAGCAGCCCACCAGGGAGGAGGGGCAAGGTACTCACTTGTCCGGAGCGTCCCAACAGCAGGTATGTGGCCGTCACCTCGTTGTACTTGAGTCCGTTCAGAGAGTCCTGGATCTCATCTCTGCTGAAGCCCATCCCCACCATTACATCTGCCAGACACAGGCACAACATGGGAGCTAACACATGGACGTTTGTCTGCATATACGGGAGTTTGTGTGCATGTACATGTGTGCGGATGTGTAACTGACCAATGCGACTGGTGTCGCTGAAGTCTTCTGCAGGCTCTGTGTGGGGCTTCAGCTCGTTCCCCTCGTGGCCCACATTTATCCACTTGTCTCGCATGATTTGCTGAGAAAGGAATGGATTATGAAACACCATTGACAAGATTAAACTTGTTTAATTTTAACAAAAGTACAATACTACTTCATACTAGTACTTCATAGACATTTCTGCAGGCTCATAAACAGGTTCCTTTGTTCAAGTTCATTGTTAAATAAAAAAAACAATGGTCAGAATGGAAACATTGTTTAGATTTACATTCATCATGAGTCTCTAATCATGAACCGGAATAAGGCTCTCATGGGTCTGCCATTTGGGTTGCCAAATCCACTAAACACCAGCTGAGCAGCAGCTCACTGCATGCACATGATTCACTTTTAAACCAGTACAAGCTCAAACTACATACTGGTTCCTTTAGGCATGCACCTCGAGAGAGCAGCGCTTGGTGGGGTTGAGCACGAGGAATCGGCGAAGGATGACCTCACAGTCTGTGGACATGTAGAAGGGTACACGATACTTCCCCCGCAGCACGCGCTCCCTCAGCTCCTGTAACATACACACACAGCCTCAGCCCGCTGCTCCCCAGGCAGAGGCTTCAGACCAGAGACTGGCCTGGGACAGACCAGTCACTGCATCAGCACAGACCAGAGACTGGCCTGGGACAGACCAGTCACTGCATCAGCACAGACCAGAGACCGGCCTGGGACAGACCAGTCACTGCATCAGCACAGACCAGAGACCGGCCTGAGACAGACCAGTCACTGCATCAGCACAGACCAGAGACCGGCCTGGGACAGACCAGTCACTGCATCAGCACAGACCAGAGACCGGCCTGAGACAGACCAGTCACTGCATCAGCACAGACCAGAGACCGGCCTGGGACAGACCAGTCACTGCATCAGCACAGACCAGAGACCGGCCTGGGACAGACCAGTCACTGCATCAGCACAGACCAGAGACCGGCCTGGGACAGACCAGTCACTGCATCAGCACAGACCAGAGACCGGCCTGGGACAGACCAGTCACTGCATCAGCACAGACCAGAGACCGGCCTGGGACAGACCAGTCACTGCATCAGCACAGACCAGAGACCGGCCTGAGACAGACCAGTCACTGCATCAGCACAGACCAGAGACCGGCCTGGGACAGACCAGTCACTGCATCAGCACAGACCAGAGACCGGCCTGGGGCAGACCAGTCACTGCATCAGCACAGACCAGAGACCGGCCTGGGACAGACCAGTCACTGCATCAGCACAGACCAGAGACCGGCCTGGGACAGACCAGTCACTGCATCAGCACAGACCAGAGACCGGCCTGAGACAGACCAGTCACTGCATCAGCACAGACCAGAGACTGGCCTGGGACAGACCAGTCACTGCATCAGCACAGACCAGAGACTGGCCTGGGACAGACCAGTCACTGCATCAGCACAGACCAGAGACTGGCCTGGGACAGACCAGTCACTGCATCAGCACAGACCAGAGACTGGCCTGGGACAGACCAGCGATTGTCCAGTGAGTCCCCTGGGAGCTCACCTTCAGGTTCTGCCCATCGAAGGGCAGTGAGCCGCTGACCAGTGTGTACAGGATCACCCCCAGGCTCCAGATGTCCACCTCTGGCCCGTCGTACTTCTTCCCCTGGAACAGCTCTGGGGCGGCGTAGGGGGGCGACCCGCAGAACGTGTCTAGTTTGCTGCCTGCGCTGAACTCGTTACTGAAGCCGAAGTCTGCAATCTTTATATTGGCCTCTGCATCCAGAAGCAGGTTTTCTGCCTGGATAAGCATGCCAAAGTTGAAGAGAATGTTTGGAAGTTTAAACAATTAGTGTAGAGAGTAGGGCTACATGCAAATACAAACACATGTTTGTAGAGAAAGAATCCTACAAGACGTTTCACACAGAGCTAATATACAGTATGTGCAGCAGCAGTTGAGCCTGTGATATGCTGTATGGAAAGTAAATGTCTTCATCCTCTGATCGAGGCTGTGGTCACTCCAACATGTACACCCCGCATGTATACTGTCTGAGACAAGAGTGGGCTGAGCCTGCATGTACACTGAGTAGTGTGTGTGTGTGTGTGCACATGTGCACGCACCTTGAGGTCTCTGTGAACAATGTTCTTTTGGTGACAGTAGTGGACGGCTGAGACGATCTGTGGAGCAGAGAAGATGAAAGAAGGAGTTACCGGTCGGACCAATGGCTACTATGTTTTATTATTATTGCATTTCCTGTGTTGGATTCTCTGATCTGCGTTGGCGACAGTAGCTCAGTTGGTAGAGCATGGTTTGGTTTGGTTTGAGCCAGAGGGTCGTGGGTTCGAGCCTGACTTTCACCATCGACTCCCACTGTCTGCTGTCGTTGTGTCCTTGGGCAAGACACTTAACCTCTGGGAACACCAGCCACAGTGGGGCGGCTGCGGCTGTAAAGTGCCAAACTGCTGTTGTGTCCTTAGGCAAGACACTTCACCCCCATTGCCTAGAATGAGTCTGGTGTGTGTGTGAATGGTTGGTGGTGGTGGGAGGGGCCGATGGCACAGACTGGTTGCCTCGCTTCTGTCAGTGTGCCCCAGGGCAGCTGTGGCTACAGTAGTTTCACCACTGTGTTTGGAGTGAATGAAAAATGATGAGAAGAGACTTTGAGTGTCCGATAAAGCACTATACAAAACCGATGCATTAAAAGTACTTTTGGTCCTGAATCTGATAAACTATCAGATCTAATGCAATGAGACTTCTGTCTGAACGGTCAGGTCACATTCATCCGATCTGTATCCAAGAGGTTCAAACACTAGGACTTGGACTTGACATGAGACTTGTCGGCCTTGACTCAGGAACTCGCAAAACCTTGACTTGCTCCCACCTCTGATAATAATAATAATATTAATGCATTGGTTTAATAAAGTGCTTTTCTGGACTCTCTAAGTCTCTTCACATGTCATTATTAATTCACTCCATACACGGTGGTGATAAACTACTACTGTAGCCACAGCTGCCCTGGGGCACACTGACAGAAGCGAGGCAATCAGTCTGCGCCATCGGCCCTTACGACCACCACCACCAACCATTCACACACACACCAGACTCATTCTAGGCAATGGGGGTGAAGTGTCTTGCCCAAGGACACAACAGTTTACAGCTGCAGCCGCCCCACTGTGGCTGGTGTTCCCAGAGGTTAAGTGTCTTGCCAAGGACAGAACGACAGCAGACACTGGGAGTGGATGGTGAAGGTCGGGCTCGAACCCACAACCCTCTGGCTCATAGGCCAATGCTCTACCAACTGAGCTACTGTCGCCCTGTAGCTGTGATAACACAGTAGGCAGAAGCAAACAACAGGAGAGTGCATGATGTCAGTGCGTACACTGACCTGTCTGAACTTGGCCCGTGCCTCCTTCTCCTTCATGCGGCCGTGTGCCACCAGGTAGTCAAACACTTCACCTGCACAATAAGTTACACACACATGCGTCACACACATGCGTCACCACACGTGTCATTCATACGTGCCACACACACACTCACCACCACTGGCGTACTCCATGACCAGGTACAGGGTTTTCTCAGTCTCAATCACCTCGAACAGCTGCACTGTAATAGGTCATATACAAAAATAAACTTGGCATAGAATAATGAATGAATACTTGGAGACTAGATCTTAAGTTCCAAATCCTCAAACTATAACGCACTATGTATCAGTCGCAATAAAACACAGGGGACTAAAAAAAACTAAATCAAATATTGTACTATAAAACACTAGGACCAAAAGCTAAATGAAAGCATCTGGTCTTAAGGGCCAGTGATACAGACCAAACATGGGGCACTCACCTATGTTGGGATGGTTGAGAGTCTTCATGATGCGCATCTCTCGGTACAGCTGGACACAAAGGGAAAAGAACTTCAGATTGCTTTAAAGCTGCCTTTGTGGGGAACAGGCAGTGGGCATTAAAAAGAAGTTAACAGGAGTAATATAGGGTTCTAACAAGATCATCGATTGTGGCCATGTATTGTGAGATTTTGAGTGAAGTGGCTCAAGTGGCTTTGTAAGAAGTATTTGAAGATACTGGAGAGCTTTAGCCAGACTCCAGATCTCAACTCTATAGAAAATCTTTGGAGGGAGTTAACAGACAGTGTTGCCCAACGACAGCCAAAACATCAATGCTCTGAAAGAGATCTGAATGGTCTTACAAAAAACATTTGACCTCTGTTATTGCCAACAAAGGGTATTGATATGGACTTTGTTTATGACTAAATACTTGATTTCCAACCATAATAATAATAATATAATAAAAATCAAACTTAACTCATTGACTGCCATTGACGTGTTAACACGTCAAACTAAATAGTAACGTTGTCTGCCAATGACGTGTTAACACGTCAATTGCGTTTCCCGCTATTTTTACGTTCCCAGCTGTCCATTGAATCTAATATGTGGAGATTGGCTTGAGGCAATACTTTATGGAGCCAGCAGATGGCAGCATTGCGCTATGAATGGTTTGAACACAGCTAGATGCACTGTTTGTGGCCCTTTTTTCTCAGCTTTCTGGTGATTTCAATAAAACTTCCCTCTACTCAACTGGGGATTACAGAAGAACTAAACAAGATAGAAACAAAATTCTTTTTGCTGGTGAGAGTAGACAGCCCATTCTTTCAGAATCTAGTTTTAGATTTCAGATAGTCAAAGTACACAATATTCTGTGGGTCTTGAAAAATCAGTAAAAACCACCAGAAACGGCTGGCAATATGGGAGTACCTGTTTTGAAATGGGCTGGCAGTCAATGAGTATTGTGATTTTTTTAATTTTGTCCAGTTGTCCAGTTGAGGCATGTCTCATCTTTTGGGAGGACTTGCACAATTGCCAGCTGACTAAATACTTCCCTTAAGAAACTAAAAAAGTAATGCTGCAGTACCTCAGTCTATGGATTTGTCATTGTGTGCAGAGTTTGAAAGACTTTGGACAGAAGGGACACATTCCCTGAACCAATGCCAGTTAAATAAACTGTCCAGGTCAGTTTTAGGTTTTGAATACGGTTGTAATATGGTTTCAAACTCAAAAAGAAATAGCTGGCCTAAGTTTAGGTCAGTAGCAGAGATATGGGTGATACAGCAGATCGCACTCGCCCGCATGCCACAAGCAGCTTTGTGTGTTGATCCTTTAAATTAGATTAGAGCAGGATGGGCCGGCTGTCGCTTCAGATCAGGCATGCTCTTAACCACACTCAAACATTCCCCTTGCCACACACTGAATTCATGCTGATCCAGTCCTGATCCGGTCCTGGTCCTGCCCTAGACCCTAACCCTAACCAATGTAAACCCTGTATGCAGGAGTTTACATGGGCTCACACAATAGTTATATATGCAGGCATACAAATGAACATGTAAACAAACAAAAGCCGTATTTTCTGTTCTGCTCTGCCCTGTTTCACAATGTTTGGGATTTATTCAATAAGGGAAGTGTGTGCTTCAATGTGAGCAGGAAGATTATATTTTGAAAAACACATATTTTGTGTTATCCAGCTTCCTGTTTGGCTCATATTATTTCCTGAGCTTGATACTGTACAAGTTGTTTCATTGATCGTCAAAGAACCCGACCGTAGTGGATGACGTACAGATGTAGCGTTATAGCAATGACGTTGGCCAACTTTTCACTGACAAGGCATTGACCTGCTCCAGGACCCTGGCCATTTCAAGTCACAAGCTCGATCAGGTGTCAATCAAAGCATCAATCCATCTACTGATCAATATGTATTAGGAATGGGATGAGATCTGGAGCCCTCAGACCTTATTTGACTAGCACATAGAAAGCACATAGACTATGGTCAGATGTGTGCTAAAATGGCTAATAGTATCTGAAGGTGCTTGAAATTATTTTGATCACATATTTGAATCAACAAAAGTACACACACATTTGCATTTGTGCTGAAAGTAGACACTGAACTTTGTGGATCAGCTGAGGAATTATCACAGGGACCCAATCTGTTATGATAGGAGTAATTATAATTTGATTGATAAAATAACAGCATATAGCGACATGTTAGGCCAATTCCCAGTAAGTGTTGTGCACAAGTGTTATAGTAGTATCCTGAGAGGGATTTACCTTCTGTAAGCTCGTTGGATTCAATTGTGTTTTATCAATTATCTTTATGGCGACCTAAAACAGAGGAAATAGAGAAAGAGTTAGGAACTGTGCTGAACAACAGAATCAATCAATCAACGTTTATTTGTAGAGCGCCTTTCCTACACAAGGCAACGCAAAGCGCCTCACAACCCATATCACATCATGCATAAATCAAACACATTAAAGCAGCAGTAAGCGATTTTTGGGTGTTAATATACGTCTTAAATATTGATATATTCCAATAGCCATCACTTATATAGAGTGTTTGTACCTAAACACGGATCTCTCAGTCCTTCCAGTCTTCTCCCACATATTTAATAAAAAAACCTCACATCCTATGCGCTTATCCAATGACGAGAGAGCACGCCTTATAAGCGGTTTCTCCCGTGTGTGCACGCGCACTCTTCAAAACAAACATGGCGGAGAAGGAAAAGCCGCCTCGAGCGCTGCTGCAGACTAAATACCATGGATTTATTAAATACAGACAAAACGCCAGAAACAGAGGAACGACAAAAAGTAGGAGCAACATGGTGACCAGCTGCATTCATGTTGGCGACCTCTAGCTCCGTGGATTCCTCTCTCCGACTGAACAGGTGAGCATGTTACTCAGTAGTGGCAGTAGTAGTTGTATTATTTATACATATTGTTGCCTGAGACTGTAATGCGGGTTTTCACCAAGTTAGCTAGTTAAAAATCCCCAGCTGTTGTAGAAATACGGCCGCATTTTGTGGCAATAACTGCGCATTACCTTGGCTTAGCTTTGAGAAACAACAACAGACAACACAACATCGAAGCCTTAGCCCAGCCTCAGCCATCCATAAACTCCGGTCAATTATTAGTTCCCCGCATGTACAAAATTAAATGACCATATCACCAGAGTTCCCCCGTGAAGTGGTGTTAGCATTAGCGTTCGCTGTTAGCATTAGCGTTCGCTGTAGAGCCCTGCACGGGCCTATTATCTGGGCCCGAGCCCGGCCTTGGCCCGAGGGGGTGGCGCCCCAGCCCGGCCCGGCCCGATATGGTTTCTCAATTTTTAGGCCCGAAACCCGCATCAAGCCCGCCTTTTTTTTTTTTTGTAACCTCCAATAACAATGTTTTAGCGTAGTATATAGTGCCGCGCACTGATATGAACGCAGACTTAGCTAGAGGGCGGAGTTATACATGGTAGTGATGTGTTGCAATGAGTTCTGTGTGTGCGGAGTGGTGCAGAGTGAACGGCCGCATCTGTATGATGCACAGCTGTATGATGCACAGATGCTGCAACACACCTGTAAGTAATGCTATGTGCCGTCAATGACAACACTACACAGAACAAGAAACACTACAGCGTGATAGAACGCTATATTCAGTGGGTGCGTTCGTAAATGTATTCTGCCGCTCTGAAAATGAAGAGCCCGAGCCCGGCGTTCGTGTCCGAGGTCATTAGCGCGGTCATCGGCCCGAAGCGTTCGCCGGCCCTAGCGTTCGCTGTTAGGGCGTCGGGGCCCTCGGGCCAAGGGCTCAAGTGCAGGGCTCTAGTTTGCTGTTAGCATTAGCGTTCGCTGTTAGCATTAGCGTTCGCTGTTAGCATTAGCGTTAGCCATTAGCATTAGCTGTCTGTAGTTGTGAATATGATGTGGCTGCTACGAACGCTTCTGATCTGTATGAATCGTTTGTTTTTGCCAATAAACATAGTTGCTTGCACTATATATATATATATATATATATATGTGTGTATGTGTATGTGTAGGTGTAGGTCTGCATTTCATTCTTCAATGACTAAGTTTTTCAACTTGCACTCTGTATATTAGTTTTATTGTTATAAAAACAATATCTCTTTACCTCAAATCTAACTTCCGTGACCACTACATACATTTTTATTATTATGTATTGAGAATAAGTAAGAAAAGTCTTGCTGACTACTACCAAAGAAATTATGAGCATGATATAATATAGACATTGTAATAATTTACATGTCTTCATTGCATTCTTTTCTCTGTATCTTTTCCAGTATGGCCTAAATCAATTGGAATGAGGTCTTAAATGTACAAGAGTTCAAAAGCCTCCATAATGCAAGTTAAATAACTATTTAAAAAAAACCAATGCCATAACGACTAGATACTTTTCTGCTGACCTCTTCTTTCTCTAGTATTGACTGCGAAGACAAGACTTTGCTTCCAGAATTAGAAGATCGGCCATTGTCATCTCCTGAGGAAGACTTTACACCCCACATTTGTCATGTAGGTTGTTGTGAATGCATATATGGGACGCAGTGATTATGATAATGATGTTGTGATGTGTGTGTCGTTCATCCCTACAGTTGTGTTGCTGCCCTGAGGTCCAAAATGAATATCGATCATGTTCCAGGAGTCAGTGTTGACAAAACTGTCGCTGAGTTTCTTCAACAATCAAGAGGAGTGAGATAATCACTCAACTCCCAAAACAGCCGATGTAAGTGTCTTTCTCTCACAATGCAGTCTCTCACAGTCCAAATAAACATGTTCAAGGATCCTGTGAATCAGGGGCCACTCCTGGTGATCAATAAATACTGATGTTGTTGATGATGAATATATCAAAGTCATATTTGAGTAGATAAAACTGATGTCTCCTCTATTGTGTTTCAAAGGAAAATCTCTGCCAGAGGAAGACTCCAGTTCCTTCAACCTGGGCCCCTGAAGCGTGGCTGTGTGTGCGTGTGACTGTGTGTGCGTGTGGCTGTGTGTGCGTGTGGCTGTGTGTGCGTGTGGCTGTGTGTGCGTGTGGCTGTGTGTGCGTGTGGCTGTGTGTGCGTGTGGCTGTGTGTGCGTGTGGCTGTGTGTGCGTGTGGCTGTGTGTGCGTGTGGCTGTGTGTGCGTGTGGCTGTGTGTGCGTGTGGCTGTGTGTGCGTGTGGCTGTCTGTGCGTGTGACTGTGTGTGCGTGTGGCTGTGTGTGCGTGTGACTGTGTGTGCGTGTGGCTGTGTGTGCGTGTGACTGTGTGTGCGTGTGACTGTGTGTGCGTGTGGCTGTGTGTGCGTGTGACTGTGTGTGCGTGTGGCTGTGTGTGCGTGTGACTGTGTGTGCTGACTGTGTGTGCGTGTGACTGTGTGTGCGTGTGGCTGTGTGTGCGTGTGGCTGTGTGTGCGTGTGGCTGTGTGTGCGTGTGGCTGTGTGTGACTGTGTGTGCGTGTGACTGTGTGTGTGTGTGTGCGTATGACTGTGTGTGCGTGTGACTGTGTGTGCGTGTGACTGTGTGTGCGTGTGGCTGTGTGTGCGTGTGGCTGTGTGTGCGTGTGGCTGTGTGTGCGTGTGGCTGTGTGTGTGCGTGTGACTGTGTGTGCTGTGTGTGCGTGTGACTGTGTGTGCGTGTGGCTGTGTGTGCGTGTGACTGTGTGTGCGTGTGTGTGTGCTGTGTGTGCGTGTGGCTGTGTGTGCGTGTGGCTGTGTGTGCGTGTGACTGTGTGTGCGTGTGGCTGTGTGTGCGTGTGGCTGTCTGTGCGTGTGACTGTGTGTGCGTGTGACTGTGTGTGCGTGTGGCTGTGTGTGCGTGTGGCTGTCTGTGCGTGTGACTGTCTGTGCGTGTGACTGTGTGTGCGTGTGACTGTGTGTGCGTGTGACTGTGTGTGCGTGTGACTGTGTGTGCTTGTGACTGTGTGTGACTGTGTGTGCGTGTGACTGTGTGTGCGTGTGACTGTGTGTGCTTGTGACTGTGTGTGACTGTGTGTGCGTGTGACTGTGTGTGTGTGTGACTGTGTGTGCTTGTGGCTGTGTGTGACTGTGTGTGCTTGTGACTGTGTGTGACTGTGTGTGCGTGTGACTGTGTGTGCTTGTGACTGTGTGTGACTGTGTGTGTGTGTGACTGTGTGTGCTTGTGACTGTGTGTGACTGTGTGTGCTTGTGACTGTGTGTGCGTGTGTGCTTGTGTGCTTGTGACTGTGCTTGTGACTGTGTGTGACTGTGCTTGTGGCTGTGTGTGCTTGTGGCTGTGTGTGCTTGTGGCTGTGTGTGCTTGTGGCTGTGTGTGCTTGTGGCTGTGTGTGCGTGGCTGCTTATGAATTATTTTGAGGAAATGTGTTCAAACAAGCTACAACATAAAGATTAACATTTTGTTAGATATCTCTGATAGTGTTCGCTGCAGCAGCGATGGATAAGGACCTGGATAATAACAGTGTTATTCATTTGAGCAAAAAGTGATAACACAAACGTTGCCTTACCATCACTTGTAATTATTTGTCTTAGTAGGGACATTGTGTATATTTTTCCGGCTATAACTTCAAATCTTCTTTTACATAATAAAGTTTCTTAGACTCATTACAGACTGTATTTGTTTTCCTACTATAAAACAAAGCACATTGAAAGAGGTGAATGTATTTTTTTTTATTTTGAAATAGTACAACTACAAACATATTTCAGAACTGCAGAGTGGACGTGCACCATGGGGGCCACTGAGGACGTGCACCATGGGGGCCGCTGAGGACGTGCACCATGGGGGCCGCTGAGGAAAGCACAATTTCAATGTCTGTTGGCACCTTTAACAGACGCATCAGGGAAAGGTCTGGGAGGATCTGGTCATCAGCTTCTCTGGACAGAGGGCGTTCAGTGCTTCCTGAAAGAACCGTTATGACAAATGACTTTATATATTCTGTTACTTGTAGCTTTTCTTTCAAAGTGGTGAGTTTCCTTACAGTGTAATTAGTTATGACAGTACTTTTGCGTTTCGGACAAGCTTTACTGGAATTGTTTTTCAGTCCCACATCTCACTGTACAGCTCTGATACACTTTGATTTTGTCTTCATTCTCTGAACAATAAGCACATAATACAGATGTTGATTACATCAATAAATGTATCTTTATTTTGTGACATTGAGAAGGCAGCTTCCAGTGAGATGCAGCTTTACTTTCACATAATACATTACTACAGTGTTGTCTATAAAGAACTCCAAATATACAAATTGTGAGGAAAGCAGTAATGTATTACTTTAAATAACCTTCATGTAAAGCTTTGTTGTTGTAATGTATATGCATTACATTCATCTAATACATATGCACTGTAAGAGATGTTACAGTGCATAATGTTGAGACACGTCACACTGCAATCTGCAACATTATGTTTATCACAACAGTTATCAGTGTACCAACTATAAAAGCAGTATTATTCTATAAAAGACTGGATTGTTTTTAATCTCTTTCTTAGTGATGCTATCCTAGCTAACACCAAGCTGCTTCCAGTGTTATAGCTAGGTTACAACTGAGCTATTCTATGCTAATATTTCACTCCCAGAGTTTGTTGTTAATATACTTACGAGTAGACCTGACGGAGATGAATCTGCTGCTGCCATCACCAAGACGATGCGAGTTCATGTGGTGTGACGAGGAGACGGGGGCGGGGCTACTAACTCGCTCAGGCAGAAGAAACTGCCGGAAACGACCAAATCGCTTACTGCTGCTTTAACTTCAAATAAATGAAACAAATCCATGTAATCAGAAACACATGTCATTGAATTTTTCCCCAACATTGTTATTATACCATTAAGTTATACCTTTATTTCATCAGGAAAATCTCTTTTCCAAGGGCGTCCTGGCCAAGAGGCATTCACAATACAACTTTCAAATCAATCAAACGGTTTTCATTATTTTACACTTGTATTTTCCCACAACAGTGATCTATAGTTATGTCGACATTTAGTTGTGTTGTTGAGTTTTTAAGTGATGTAAAGTGTACATGGGCAATGCTACACATTTTGGTGGCATTTTAAATCTGTGGTTCCATGCTCTTTGTGATCCTGGCGTTAATATGAAAACATACTTATCATAACAATGAACTTTATTCAAACTCGAAAAGGAGTGGGTGGAAGAAAAAATATGATAACTTCCCACCCCTGTGAATATCATATTTGTGTGTTTGGAGCCAGTAGCAGAGAAATGTGCAACAACACGACAGCAACCAGCAGCACAATGACCCCAGCCAATCACAACACAGCAGGCACCAGGGCAGCAACAAACCAGCAGCGAACCAGCAACAAACCAAAGCCCCGACCCAGAACTGCACATACTGTACCTTACCACATACTGTAGGTGATCAGTCAATTTTATTCAAACCACATTTTTTTGTTTTGATTCTATTTTTTGTGTGTGATGCAAACAGTTACTGAGCTAGTCAATGTAATTCAATAGGAGCCAGAGTGAGTAGGAGCCACTCTTCGTCCATGAGCACTTCCCTAATGGGCTTCATTGAGCTAGAAGGTTGGCTTTTTAACAGCCAACCTTCTAGCTCAACCTTTTTTAACAGCTATCAGTCACTGTCTGTATATCGTTTTTCTTTAACAGAAGTACGGACATTGACTGTATATAGACTAGCTCTGTTTCACATCCACATTTCTTAAGACATCTCTCATGCCTAAAGAGTCAGATGAAATCCATACATCGACAAAAAGCATGTACAGCTTAAAGAAAATGTTAAGTCATTCTTCTGTTGCTGCTTATTAAGATTTGCTCAGGCCTTACCTAATCTTTGTGCCACTCACTGAAACATCATAAAAAGCGTTTACGTTGTAAAAATCACAAGTTTTCCGCGTTTGACTAGTTTGTTAGTCAGCCTTTTTTCGCTCAATCACACGTTGCTTGCGCCACAGTCTCATGCACCTATAAAATGGGAGAAAGTGTGATGTAGTGCAATTAACCCATTTAGTTTTATACGTCCGACTTCTTACAGTCTGTGAAAATACAGCTGTGTTTTTTATAGCCAACGATCAGGTAGCACCGTAACTCATTCCTCAAAATTCACTTCCATCCTCTTCCTGCTCACAGACTGAATTTTTACGACTTTTTTACTGACTACAAAACATGATTAATTTCTACATTAATGCAAAATGGCTACCAAAGCAACAAGTTGGAAGAGGGGAATATGGAACAAAGTAATACATTTATATAGTTACATAAAACTGAGTGTGGTATGAAAATGCATAGATGAACACTTCTAAGACACAGAGAGGAGTAAACCACCGCTTTACAGATGGTAATAAAAGTTCTTGTGCGTCAGCTTCAGATAAACCGAGCAGTATAAAATGACACTCAGACAGCTCACCTTTCCACTTCCCTAAAGTCTTGTGTGTCACTTTAGGAACAACCTAGAAATTCCTGATCACTAAGCTGTTCTGCAATTACTTCAATTCTTTTCAACTGACACTAATCTTATTTAAGACAGATAATTTATTTTTAAACATTTGATTATTATATTTCAAAAAGGTTTCACTATTACTAAAGTTGTGTCCAGAGTTATGTTTGAGTAATGCATGATAAGATAAGATAAACCATTTATTCTTCCCTCAGTCAAAGGGAACTAAAAGGAGCACTCAGATTATGCACACATCAAACAGGATCTATTGTTTAGTAATGTATAATAAACTAATAAAATAAAAAGATGATAAACTCTGGAGCTATAACTGCACTTGGGCCCCTTGTGGAGTATTCTGTATGTATGAATGTGCAATGAAGCACCACATGTGTCACTTTTTTGTCTATGTGACACTTTAGCCCTTTAATGTTCACTCCTTTTTTTAACCCATAGTTTTTTTTTTTATTATTGTCATGGTGTGGATTTTTATTTTTGTTCTTTGGTTTTATTTTGACATAAATTTGGTTTTAGTTGTACTTCCTGTCTTGTTCCCCCGTGTTGATTGTCTGCCCCGCCCTGATGTGCTTCACCTGTGTCTGTGTCTATATGTACCCAGTGCTCCTCTCCCCTTGTTGCTGGTTCATTGTATTGTCTGACCTTGTCAGTCTGTGTTCCTGGTTCTTGTTTGGATTTTGTTTTCATCTTGGACATTTATTTGATTTGTATCATTAAACCATTTTTGTTTTTTGCATTCCTGCATTTTGAGTCCTCCATCACTTCACCCCATGACAATTATAGGCCTTTACCAAATGGTTGGGATTCAGTTTGCTGATTTAAAAAAGTGCTTAAAACCATGTGAGATACCCCAAAGAGGTAGATTTCATTCCCAAGCTTCAAGTAGATATAGTGACAGAAAAAGTGATCCACCAAATGCTTGAGGTTCAATCAATTCAATGTGTTCTTGTATAGCGCTAAATCACTATAGTAGTTGTATCGGAGTACTTTGCAAAACTGTTGAATTCGCCAACACAGATCAGAAAATCGGATCAAACACAAAAAATGCAATAATAAAAAAACACATCGAGCTATTGGGACATATGGGGCAGGTGACCAATGTCGATAAATATTTATGAATGTCCCTAAATCTTGTTGAATGTTGAGTGTCCTGGATCATCACCACTGTGCTTAGACCCTCCTCAGCAAGGAAAAACTTTTAGCCCATACCTTTTAGCTGCTACCATGTACTCAAAGCCAATGGTCTACTACCTGAACATTCCTGCTCTAGAGTGTATTAAAGATTTATCTACAGGTATAAAAATACAAGTATATATTTCTTTGCACTACTCAGAGCATACGGGTAAACTTGTACTTTACATTGCAGGAGTGTCCAGGCATTTTGGCACAAATTAAAATTGTAACCTTCTGCTACATTTGCACTGTGTGATTAAAACCTAACACACATCATTTCAATATGATTTTAATAAGTAGTGGGCTTGTTCTTTATATCTATCTATATACTATTGTTTGTTTCATTCATTTTGTTATCATGCTATCAATGGAACGAGAACAAGATTTCAACACTTCTGACAACTACTGTGCGGTCCTAGATTTAAATCGTTTTGACATCCCTGGAATACAGAATAAATCATGTTGTGACTTTTTGAGGCTAAAGTTTCTCATTTACAAGTTTCACACAAATCTATTGAGAAAGTCTATCTTATACACACACACACACTAATGAGTGGGGCTGAGTCACTGAGATGCTCTGGGCATGTGTATGTAACCCAATCGCACAAACTGAAATATTTACAAACCAAACTACAGCTGGACTCTGCGGCCGAGTCTCCACATCAAACACTGCAGACAAATGGAATGAATGAAAATGCCTTGAGAGAAGATTTTGAGGAATGACGTCCGCATGTTTTCAGAGTTCAATGAACGTGTGGGCTGTTTTGGCGTCTGGCTGCATTTTCCATTTCTACTACTTCACATTGAAATGACGCGTGACCCGATAAATTATGATGCAGGTTGATTTGCATTTCTCTTTTGAGGCTTATTTCAACTTTGTCCAAGAGTTGAAATAGAAACTGTAACCCAAGGCCCAATGTAACCTGACTGTAATATATTAACTCTAAACATGAATCTACATCCTATACAGAGTTGACAAGAGATCTTTGAAGAGCCATTTTCTTCCATGATTAGCCATGATAGCAAAAATCAAGCATGTTTTAACCCTTGTGCTATCCTCGAGTCAAATTAACCCATCAGAGTGATTAAAAAAATACTCAAATTCAAGTTGAATGTTGTCATTTTTTCCTAACTTAAAAAGCCCTGGATCATTTAGACTCTTTTACTTCTACTTTCTTGTACTTTTGTGGTGGGTCATTGTGATCTGAGGGTAGCATAAGGGTTAAAAAATGCATTATTTGAAAGGAAATTAACACAACACAACATTCCTTACACAAAAAATTGACTCTATCAACGGGTAGAGCTTGGGACAGAACACCAAATGCAACCAAAATGTGTAGGTTATACACAAAAACTAAAGATACACTGCTCGATGGTTACTGGTTAATGCTTCTATTGCTACTTTGTATAATATTGAATAAACTCAAAAGTAAATCTGTCTGACTTCATCTTAAGCTTAATTTAAAACCGGTTAAAACAGCAGAGGAGAGCTGTGGAGTTGAGGCCTGGTTTCCTCCTTAAAAAGCTGCAGTCAGAGAAGAGACCCCTGCGCCTCACAGCTGGACCCTCACACACCCCAAACACTCGAGCGAATACACACCAGAGGACGCAGGCTCGCTGTGGTCAACGCTTCACGGTCATTGGGTTATGTCAATTATCTATTTTCTAATGAATTAAACTAACAAATTATAATAATCCTCAGGAGTTATAATATGTCTTAGTGCTACAGGCAAAACATCTGCTTGCTGAGATGCAATTTTTTATATCCGGTATATTCAAAGATTCTAGTGCACATATGACGCGATTAAAATATTGTTCTAATACACAGTTCTAACCTATAGAACAATGTTTTTTCATAATAAAAGCAAAACCAGAGGAGACAGGTCCTTCCAGGCTGTTGCTCCCAAGCTTTGGAACGTTCTCTCCGCGTTCTATAGAGTCTGTAGAGTTCTTCAAAAGTCAACTTAAAAACACATTTATTTGTTCAGGATTTTGCATAATTTTGTCTTTCTGTTATTCACATGGTTGTCTTAGCCTTTAAAAATGTGTATGTCTATTTTATTCTCTGTCTGTTTATTATACTACTGTGTGTGACGCGCTTTGTGACCCTGGTCTGTGAAGGGCGCTGTATAAATACTTACTTACTTACTTAAAATGTGAAAAATATAAATTCTTGAATTAATTTGCCTTGCCTACAGTCCTCTTTAATATGCTACATTAAAGATCACTGTTTTAAGCCTGGCCTTGAATTATTTTCTCGTGAAATTCTTTTAGTTAGACTCACGTTGAGCACCACCAAGAATGATACAAAACATCAGATGTCTTTTTGGAATGAGAAAATACTGCTCCTGCCCGTCAAACAGACAAAAGATACATGTTTGTTCTATTGTCAAACCATAAAAATAACTAAATATAAGACACATTTTTCCAAACTCAAGTAATGTTTTGTTCATGTTTAGACCCTTTTTGTTTCAAAGAACTTTATAGATGCAGTCTTTCTAATGCGCTAATTGCAAATATATAAATTGCAATTTGTTTTTTTTTGCTTGTAACTAATCATGTAGTCCTCAAATAAACCACATTTGGTAGTATATTTATTTTGTCGCCATGTGCTCATCCTCTCCCCATCAAAGCCCCTGCCCTCTTCCTCAGCCTTCACACAGAATAAGGTCATGTTGGCTTCTTCTTTAAAAAAAAACCTTTTGTGATCCACCCCACCCCCTCTGCCAACTGTCTCAGAGACCAGACCTTTTGAGATCCCTTCAGTCTGTGCATAAGCCTTCATAGATGATTAGTTCTGCTGCCGTCGGTGTGTGTTTGTGTGCATACGGGAGCTTCATCCATCAGGCCCTTGACAGCAGAGACACTGCAAACCCCACATTACAGGCTGCGTGTGCTGGACCTACCCAACACTACAGAGCAGCGTCAAAACAAAACGGTATTTTAAAGAGATTGCGACACAACAGGGAATCCCCAGTCCTGCATTTTTAAAGAGCGTTTGGGGTCCATTCATTGTCTAAAGAGTTCAAGGTTTCAGCTCTGAGCAAAGACACTAGGGCTGGGAATCTCTGGCCCCCTCCTAAGATGTTGCATGATGCTCCAATTATCATTATATACACTGCAAAATATTATAAAATGTGAGGTAATAAATTCTTGAATCAAGTCTTTTTTGTTGTCATTGGAGAATATGACTGCCTTAAAATAAGATTTGCCAATGGGACAAATTCTTGTTTCATATTTCAAGAATGTTTGCATTGTTTTCTAATTCCAGGGGAGACATCTTTAAAAAAATATGTTTTCTTATCCCATTGGCAAATCTTGTTTGAAGGCAGTCAACATGAGCTCAAGATACTGTAGATAAATTCTGCCAAATTTGAGAAATCTTTGACTTATGTTTCTTCACTTTTTGCGTTGTAGCTTCTATAATTAACTTTAATCATATAAAAGGGATTGCCCCATTGCCTTTTGGGTTCAATCTTTAGTATCAATTAAACAATGCGGCTGTTATCCTGAGAGAATTGGCTTTGAAACGAATGCAAATTCATACAAGGTGCAGAACTTGAATGGGTTTTGAGTACAATTGACTCCTATTCAATAAGATAGAACTAGGGCTGGGCGATATGGCAAAAAAAAAAAATCTCCGATTTTTTCACACCAAATCCGATTTTCGATTTTAATCGATTTATTTTTTTCTATTTAAAAACAAACTACAACTGACAAAGAAATAGATTTTTCTTTATGCAGTTTAATCTAAATCCCCATGGAGCATAAGTGTAACAGGAATTAAGCCTTAAAACATGCTTATAAACGAGATGGCTCTGCCATTGTAAACAGTGAAAATGTAGCTTAACAGTTTTATAATAACTTCACTTACAATGACACTATGCACCTTCAAAATAACTTAAATCACACAAACAAGGCCCATCGCAAATATATCAATCCTATTAAACACATGCATTATTTACATGAAATATCACATTTTTAAAACTTATTACTCAAAATAGAAATGTTGTAACAGACAGTCTTTTCCAAAAGCCTCCTCGGGTTTTCATGCTTGTTCTTTCAACTGTGCCTGAGTAACTGTGCTGTAGTACAACGCTCGGTCCAGCTGGTGGCGCTAATACTAACTTCAGTGACTCCCGCATTGTGCGAGCTTCCTGTTTACATTCTGATGCTGTAGCTAACAGCTACTGTAGCATCTACTGTAGCTAACAGCTACTGTAGCAGCTACTGTAGCTAACAGCTACTGTAGCTAACAGCTACTGTAGCAGCTACTGTAGCTAACAGCTACTGTAGCTAACAGCTACTGTAGCAGCTACTGTAGCTAACAGCTACTGTAGCAGCTACTGTAGCTAACAGACAGCGGGGAACACGTTGTTTGTATCAGAGCAATGAGAGCAATGTGTGAGACGTGTCTTTCCCCAAAGTGCAGCGGCTCAGTGGGACACGAGTGTGTGCGCGCCACGGACACGGGAGTGCGCTTTGGAATAACGAGCGTGAGAGAGCGTGAAAGATGTGGCGTACGAACATGGCGTACGAACATAGCGACCGGAGCCTGCGTGCGTGTGTGTGTGTGTTCTGGCGATTTAAATAAAGTCTGATTCTTGACCGTTTGAAGTGTTATTGCAACAGCACCAACTGTGAGAGCGAGCATCAGGCCAGAGGGAGACTGTTAGCATTAGGTTAGCTTCAAAATTACTGCTCAACACCATAGACCCGCGGTTAGCGCGTTAGCGCTGTAGTTCTGCGCTGGAGAAAATAAAAATCGATTTTTTAAAAAAAGAAATCGCCCTAAACGTAAAACTCGAATTAATGATTAAAATCGATTAATCGCCCAGCCCTAGATAGAACCCACTTTTACTTGGTTTACATACTGCTAATGGTGCAATAATAAATAAACTGGAGTTTGGTTAGAATAGAGATACAGTCCTTCCCATTGCGTACATAGACATTATTAAAGGGGAGAAACCGATCCAGTGACTTATAGTTTTAGTTTTCCCAGCAGATGTGCGAGGAGCCGGCCCCAGGTTCAAACTGCAGTCGCCGTAAAGACCTGAAAATGAGTCTATTATCGACAGCGTGCTAATGAAGCCGAGCTCTGTTTAACTGTTTGTAAAATCCCTCACACATGCCTCCACGTAACCTCCTGTTTCAGACTGTAACCTACAGGCGTACAGCCCTGTTCTACTGTTCAAAGCAAACTTCAAATCTCTCTACCAAATGTGACTTTTATAGGCCGAATCTGCTCCATCCATCACATACCATCATAAAAGGTTTAAAATAGACTTTGATTGTAGTTTTTGAAGTTTGGGTTGAAACGTGGGCATGAAAAAAATGCTTCAATTCATCGGAGCGTATCTGAAATTGTAAATCATTCTTTTTAAATCTTGCTTTATAATGCAGCCACTTCAGGAGGGTAAAGCGGAGGCCTGTAGTGTGGCACTTTGTGGGCAATTACCACCTAATCAACTCCATGGTTACACTTAAGAATAGGCAGACATTCACCTCATTCTCTTAAGGCACTGGGAGTCGGAAACAAAAGAAACCGGCATGGCAACCGCAAAAAGTAACAGTATTATTTGTGATGAGAACCTGGATATCTTTTATCTATTTTGACACACTTTACATACTTTTTTGTCTGTCCTCCTCACAACTTGCATGAATCTAGT